GATACCTTGTATATTTTTTGTCTTGTAATAAATATTCGATAAAAATATTTGAAGAAAATGTTCATTATCTTACACTTCGTGAGAAAACACATTCTTCTTAAAAGATGTCGTTTTATTTCTCCATTTCTTTTTTTTTTTTAGATAAAAAAAATCGAAAAGAGAGATAAAAGAATAGATATTCTCTTGCAAAGTGGATTGCACAAAAGAAGTAAAAAGTCCTGTGCACTTTTCTTACAAGTGTTACCATCTATTCACGAATTCGCGACGTTTCTTTTAAAATTGGATTTAAGGAAACGTGATGGACTAATCTTCGACGTTTTAGGTGAAATCATTGGGAAAAGAAATTCTTCGTTTCGTCTTTTATTTTCTTTTTTTATCACCCTCTTCCCCTTCCTTGTTTTTTTATCTCATTTTCACGATGACTCGAATATTTATGCGGAACCATTTGTTTAAGTTTCTGTACTTCACGACAAGCCATTTTTAACGCCTCTTTTGACGTTAGAAATTTGGTCCGAGTTTGTTCTTGCTACATTAGAGTTGGCAAAAATAAAATAAGAAAAAGAAATGTACCCTGTAAGAATAGACAGTCTGCATTATGCAAGAAAAAGCATGAACAGATTTTGAGCAAACAAAAAAAAATAAAATAATAGTCAAGATAATCTAATTTTATGTGTGTTAGAAATGTTTATTTCTTATTTTTATATACTTCAATGATAATTTATTTTTTGTATTATTTTTTCTAAGTAATAATTAAAAAGTTAAACATTAAAAATTTTGAAAGAACATACACTATTTAGAATTAAAATAATTTTTAATCAAAACAAAATTCACATCCTAAAGTTTATTTTATATTAGATTAATCTAACAAATATACAGAGAGCTCCATTGGTAAAAAAAATATTAGGTTATAAAGTTAAATAAAATTTGTTAAAATATGAAATAATAATACGCATACGTATAAGTACGCAAGTTATTTTCATGTTGATGTATTATTTTTGTTTGAATGTACTTATTTAGTAACTTACTAAAAACAGGTAAATTTCGATGTAATAAATATACGAATATTATTATACTAGCTATTATTACAGTGAATTAATTCATAATTGTTCGATATAACACTTGCATCGGTTACTTGTTAAAATGTTATCGCATCTGATATATCAGGAATAACTAAAATATAAGATTATTAATAAAGCATGAATTAGATACCTGTTGCACACGAAACTCGTGTACGAAATACATTTGAACAAAAAAAGAAGTAACGAATATACAAGTTTAATTCGTTTTAAGCAACGTTACATTATTATTACCATCTTTTTTTTTAAATACTAATTAACACTTCGTAGATGATAAATATTTAAGAGACAATTTTAATGAATAATTAAAATAATATTTAAAGTAATTTCCAATTATTTTCTTTTACGATTAATTGTAGTTTCACAGAATACCCTAAATCACACATAAACATACAACCATAAGTTGTGAATCTATTAATAACCAAAGTTATTTTCCACAATTCATCAAAGTCATTCCTTCAACGTTACCACCCCCGAAGGGATATTTTTTTCTTATGACAGATATATTGTCTTTCTTTTTTTTTCTTTTCCCCTTTGCAGCTGCAACAACGATAATCCATCTTACGCGCTTCGATTTCATCTTTGAAAAGAGGGATTGAAAAAAACGCGAGTAAGAAAAGAATTGGATTGAAAGGATACTTTAAGTTTTTGTTAAACTAAAACTTAAGTTTTGATATTTGTTACAACTCTTATTGACTCGTGTAAAAATATTATTTTGTTAAGCAAAATAAATTCTCATTATTACCTAAATTTATATTTAATATTACGAAATCTAGTGTATGTGTTAGAATGAAAAAAAAAGAAAAACTAGTTTTATCTAATCGAGAAAAGTAATACCGTTCGTGGATGGAATTTTTATAGCAAATAAAATGAAAGAGATAGAGAGAAAGAGAAAGATAGAAGTTATAACAGTGAGGGGTTTGTTCGATATTGGTAAAAGTTCGTAGATTATAAGTCAAGCTATGGACAATTTCAGGATAGCAAATGGATCGATTTGTATAGGAAAATATATTCGATCATATATTAGTATTCGTAATTATACAGAAGTATGACGTCAAACAGATCATCCCTAACCCTCACAATTATATAAACCTTTTCATAATTTCAATCATTCGAATAAACCTTTTGAAAGATTTCAACCTAAATTGAAGGAAAAGGACAATAAAAACGATGCATAATAATGAAAGATATCAAGTTTCATAACGTTTCATTTTATTTTTTTGTAACCTAATCGTATCTTAATTAATTGATCTTGCTGGTAACATTAATTAGTGATATAATTAAAAGTTGATATTAGGTAGACGCTAGAAATACGTGTACACATAGTTTTGATTGATATGAGTTACATTGAGTCAGAAAGAACGAACGAACGAACGAATAAACGAACGTACGTGATTGATGAAAACATATGTAGTCGTATAACAAGGGAAAATATACATGTACGACAGGGGATGTCGTGGAAATATTGAGTTGGCAAATAAATAATGTTAGAATTTTTAATACAGTTCCGAAGTATATTTTACTTGCTGATTTTTTAAATCAATAACTCTTTTTATATCAACTCTATATAAACATGATTTTTCTTTTCTTTTTTAAATATTAAAGTATTGATTTTTAGATCCTTTTTGTAATCCAGATAAAAAAAAAAAGAAAGGAACATTGAAGGTAAAATAATTTATATTTTAAATCAACTACAGATTGTTTACATTTTCTATTGGTCAAATAAATAACAATGTGACAAGCGGTAGGTTTCTATTTGAATATTATTAAAGAATAATTTTCTTATCATTTACGATAATCAAATAACAAAATCTAATAAACACGTTGTTATTTGAATTTTATTAAAGAATATTTTTTGTTTACCGATTAAAGATATAAATAAAATGTTAAAAAAAAAAATAAAAATGAGTCATTTTATTTAAGCAATTAAAACGTTCCTCTTTTAGATAACAAGTTACTTTTCGAATAATATTATAATAATCTTCTTAAGCTAATGAATGACGGACGCATGATACATTAACTTTCTTAATATCCCCAAGACCGTTATACGGTTCGCGTCGTTATTAATTCAAGAAACTTTCAAAGACCGAGGCTGCCTGAATAGGAATTTATTAAATTTAACGAGCAGCTTGAAAGTCCACGTTAGTTCTTCTCTCTGATATAGTTGGCAAAATTTTACTACTTTATAAAAAGAATTTTCATTCTATCGTATTTTCTATTCCTTCGATGATAATCATATTCTTTGTATATATCTGATCTATTCTATAAATTATTGCATAAGAAAGAAGCGAGAAATAAAAATCAATAACATTTGATTTGGAATTCTGTAGAAAAATTTTTACTTGAAAAATACGAGATTGAATATTAGATGTTTGCAATTTAAAAATCGTTGTGAAATCTTTTGGGACATTGGTGGTGGTTGCCATGTTTACATTTCTTCGCGATCAAATTCAATCTTTCCTTTTTCGAAAATAGCTTTCCAAGGAATGGGAAGCAAAGGTCGCAACACGTAAACTAAAGGAAAATGTGCTGAACGTGAAAGAAATGATGTGCGTTGAAGGAGAAACGTTAGGGGGTGCGTTCGATAAACGTTAGGATAAATCTTTACCATATCACTGTACAAGCTTTTATTCAGTATAACACATTTTATAATTCATTCTTACAATTGCATTTGAAATTTTATTCCTTCATTTTCTATTGGAACGGAAGAACGATAAATGCTTTAAATTCATTTGGAAATTTAACAAACCTATAATTGATAAAAATTTACTTGAACAAACCTTATGATCCTTATTTAATTATTTTACAAAATAGAAGAAAAAAATAATAAAACGAACTCAAATAGTGGAATGAAAAGAAAATTCATTTGTTCGGACATCGCAAATTTCTATGAACATTTATTCAATTGAAAATTATTACGAATTAGTTACTTTATCCAATTTTCCAAATATATATTTTCGTATTTTTGTTTTCCAGAAACGAGGTTTGGGAATGGGGGTGAGGGAGTTGTGGTTGAAGATCGATAGAAAAACCATGTGGGGATAAGGAGGTAATTTTTGTTCTTGAGAGGGTTCAGAATTCGTTTTTCTTTTTCTCTCTATCTTTTTTTCTTCTGTTTCTTAGAATAAATTTTTCCAAAAAGGTACAGAGACCACTTCGAACGAAGGAAATGTTACAATGACTAACCATCTGTCAATTCGCCCCCTTTTCCCGTATTTTTGTATCTTCCATATTTTTTTTTTGTTACCCCGAAAGAAAAGTGCTTTACCTCGGGAGAACTCAATTTCGAAATAAAAGAAGTTCCGTTGTTTTTAGTCTAATTCAACCAATCGAATCCTTGATAGAACCTAAATTTGTAACTTTCAAACGTTTTACTTATATCGATAATAAAATATCTGTCCTTGGACCAATACCAACGTTAAAGTATTTGGAAACGTTCTATTATATAGAAGTTTGTTATCCTAAAAATGGTAAGATCTGGTAAAGAAACCATTTGCATATAAAGTATCTTAGATATTTGCCAGAATATTTCGGTATCGGTTAGATAGGCAAAGTAGTGCATGAATAACAGCGAATATTTGGCCTTTTTAAACCTTGAAAAGAATATCTTAAAAAAAAAAAAGAATTGTGTCAAAGGAGAAGTGCAAGTGCAGTTATATAACAAAGAAGGTATTCAATTTGAATATATGAATATCTAAGTAACAGTGTGTGTATTAAAATATTTCATATATTGTTTCAGGAGTCATCAAGAAAGAAGAATAAGAAAAAGGATAATATCGTGAAAGTTGTGATTGGTGATTTTTGAACGGTACGAAGATAAATCGTGGAACGAAGGGTAAGAATTAACGGAGGTGTGGGTGAGGAGAAACAGGAGGAGGAGGAGGAGGTGGAGGAGGAGGAAGAGGTGGAGGAGGCGGAGGAGGAGGGTAAAGTGGAAGAAGACGAGGAGGAAAGCGAAAAGCAGAGAATGGCGGAAAGATCAAAGATCTCGTGATCGGTGTGGTGGTAGCAGAATGGAAGGTGGAAGGGACAACGACGATTCGTTGTTTCGGTCGATCGTTCGAAAGCTATCGTCGAGGGAATCGGTGATAAGTAGTGGGGTTGAGGGGGAGGTAGATACATCGAGATATACGAAGATCGGTAACGGTGTTAGGGAGGTTGTAGTGCCGGCAAGGAATACGTCAACAACTACGACTAGTACGTCGAATACGATAACAGCTACGATAACAACGACGAGAACTCATTCTAGGGAGTTCAACGAGATTGCATTTGAGACGATTTTGGAACGTACATTCGACATGTCGAGAAACGAAAGCGACACTGTCGCGGTAACTGCGGCTACTGGGACAGCTTCTGCAAATGGCGGAACGGCAACTGGGGTTATCGTCGTAGAGTCAACCAGTTGGTTCGACGATACTCAAACGCCAACGAGTACGGCAAGCTTCGCGTCGTCTACACCAAACGTTTCATCGAGTTATTCAAGTTCAACCCTAATCGACAATTATACTCTAATATCGGATTTATTCGTCTTCGACGATCTAAACGATTATATCAATCAGTTAAATTACAGCGCATTCGCTAACCTCACGGCCTATTATGATGGCGGTGGTAGTATGAATCTAAGTACCACCGTTAATTGTACTTCCTCGATAGTCTCTGCTAATGACACCGAGTGCAATCCAACCTCGGTAGACGAAAAGTCAAACCCCAGTAATTGGTGGGCCCTCATACTGGTTATCGTACCTTGTCTAACCCTATTCGGCAATGTCCTCGTTATCCTGGCTGTTGTAAGAGAGAAAGCCCTTCAGACTGTCACCAATTATTTTATCGTCAGCCTGGCGGTTGCTGATCTACTAGTAGCGGTTCTTGTCATGCCTTTTGCTGTCTACGTTTTGGTGAGTCAAGTTTATGATTTATTTTATATTTTTCTTCAACGGATAAATTGTCTTCTATAATCATGTTTTAAGAAAATAATACATTCGATAGGTTTGCTTATTACGAAGGTGTCAGTTTAAACATCGAAATCCATTAACCTTCTAACTCGTTTACCGATTAGAAACTATTTCTATGTGTTGGTACATATGTAGTATATACACATACATATATGTATCTATATAAATACGACTCGATATACGGAAACTGATCGAATCGGAAAAGTGTTAAATTCCTAAGGGACGATAGGAAAAGCCACGCGTTTTACTAGAATAAAACGAAGAAACGGTGTATTTTTGTTAAAGGCTATCTGCCTCTGTTTGATTGGCTGAATCAAATAAAAACAAGATTAGTTAATTAAGCTTGTTTGAACGATCGAACGATCGAACGAGACTTTCGCGTCTTGTTGAAAATGTGACTATAAAAACCAGATAATTATAACCTCTTTGATAGCTGACCTATTTTTATATAGAATACCGTTTCAGTATACTGAAGGCAAATATTAAAACTGTAAAAGAAGAGTAAACGATATTAATATCGTATAACTATGAACAGTAAAATGCGGCTAAAAATCATAAGAACAATTTCATCAAATTTTGGGAAATTTAATTTATCTTTTTTTTTTTTTTAAAGATTAATTTCAGTTTAAGTTAAAGATTAAAAGTATGGTAGGTAACTCAAATGTGATTCTTTTGAAAGCAGTAATTTTGATATTTTTTTTTTTTGAATACTGCTAAAATCTAAAGAGTATTTTTTAATTAAAAATAAATGATATTAATATTTGATAAAATTTTGACATTATTCATTTTTTAGTCCAACATTTTGTATTTTATCTTGCGAGAATGTTTGAAAAAACAATGGACGTTCATCCGTTCAAAAAAAAATATTCGTATGATTTGTGCAATATTCGTGAAGTTCAACATTATTTTCTCTTATCTCCCTTTTACAAAAGATGGAAAGGGAAACATGATGTGACGCGAGATCGCGTGTCATAGTTCTAGCAGGTTTACATGCTTCAAATTATATTTGTTAGAATCACTCTCGGGAATGCAATGGGGTGCAGTAGCATGCATCGTCCTTCACGGTGCATATAAATCAGAACGTTTCATTGCCGTTCCTCGAAATTTCTCTCGTTGATATAACCTCACCTTCGAAATAATAATTATGTGATTACTGCATCACGACTAATAGATGAAGGATCTATACGAGTTAAACGTTGTTAAATATTACTTCATATATATATTTCTGTATATATATATATAAATGCAGAAGTAAAATGTATATACGTTATATTATTTCTTATGTAAAATATTTCTCCGTATGTAATATACCAAATTTACATATAACGTAGTAATAATAATAATAATTTAATGTAGAAAGTCTTTACGAATTTAAAGTTAGAAACGTTCCTTCTTGAATGATAATGAATACTGAATAAGCAACAAATACTTTTGTAATTCTGAGATTATAATTCATTTTATTTTGAAAAATTTATTTCTTACTTTGAGTTAGAATATTTTTCATATTTCCTTAATATATAAATTATTATTAGATTTGGTGTTAAATAATTTTTCTACCGACACAATTGTGTTGCAATTCGATGAAAATTAATATTCGACCACTTTGTACGATGTTGAGAATGCTTTTAATAATTCTCAGCTCTATGGATTGCGTTTTGTACAAGGTGTATGTATGTAGCGCTTGTGTTCATGTCGCATAAAATACGTAGGAAATCAATTGGTAGACTCGAATGGCCATTTACAAACACAGAATGGAGGCAATTAGTCGAACGAAATAATTGGCCAATTTCTATTTTCAATTAGATCAACAATTCTCTTTTTATGTTTTTTTATTTTACTTTTTCTTTCTTTTCTATGTTCCTCCTTTAGTTCCTTTTTTGAGTATTTCTTTACTTTTTCGATATAGGGGGAATAGATAAAAGTAGAGAATAATGGAACATTATGCTTTAATAATAACGTTTAGCTTGGAACGAAAAATATTCTCCATTCTCTTGTGTTAGAAAGAATTTTTTATCAGGTTCTAGTAGAGAACAACGCTTTATATTATAAATTACTCAGCATCGTACCTCGTCGATATCTCGATGACTTCGTACACGAGTATACGAGCAATCGAGTGGACGAACACGTGCTTAGATAGAATCGATGATAGTACGATTAGTTAATTAAAGTTGCAAGCTCGGTGGTTGGTTCTCCTCGTTCATGAATTTCAAACTGATTGTATAGTATATATTATATTATCCTACAATTATTTTTATGGATATTGATCCTTGTTATCAAATTTTGTAATATGATAAACAATTAACCTAATTTTTCGAAACAATTTATTCAATTGCTTTTGTTTATAAATATGCAAATAGAAATATGTTTACAAATATTTTTTTCTTGTTTATAATATTTCGATAGTATAAATAAGCGGAAAAATTATTGAAAAATTTAATTAACCCTAATCGGATCGTATCAAACCAATGATAATACGTTTTATTAAATATATTGGAATAAATGTAGAAAGAAAATCTAATGAAAAATCGATAATCTTTTTTTTTCTTTATAATTTCACATATCCAACACAGGTTCTCGTTTATGGGAACCTATATATATTCGAAGGATAAAATTGTAATTCTCTCTCTTCCTCTCTCTCTCTCTCTCTCTCTCTCTCTATCTCTATACTCTCTTTCTCTCTGGAGGTCGAATGTAAACAAGATGGAACGTGCTAAAACCTCCTTTCGTCCGCTTAACCGGTCGTTCACGAGTTTCGCATTAAACGATTTACCGACATATTCGGGCAAGTAATGCACCACGACGATAATGCCAGAACGACGTAAGCGTCCTGTTTGGTTGGTGCACTTTAGTTTTATTGTCAATAACACCGACTCTCTTACTATCATCAACTTTTAACTTAAACTTAACAAATTATTTAAAATTTCTCTTAAAATGTATGTGCGTGTTTTTCTTTTTCTCTTTTTTCTTTTTTTTCAAATCTCGAATTCAAAGACAATTCTCATGTAAGATTTATGATATAACCACGTGTGCAGTACTTTTTAACGATTTAGTAGCCGACGAAAACTTTTGAACTTTGTCAAAGAAATTACTCAAAACTTTTATTAAATCAACGAGATTAAAATAAATTTTCGTAACGATAACGCGATTATTCTTTTTTTTTCTTTATTTTTTTTTACAATTGCACGAACTTCAAAATTTCAAGTACTCGATCCTTCGCGGTAACATTTCTTTCTTACCTTTTGCTTTCACCCGTCATTTTTTTTATTTCCTATTTCCTTTCTCTTCCTCTAACTGTTCCTCATGGTGCCAAGGATTTTTACTTTAATACTGGAAGAGAAATTGATACTCTTCTAGGCGAGTTCGTGTCTTGAATTCCGGTAAAATATTTTCAAGACTTACGTCGCTTCTCTTTTTTTCCCCCCCCTTTTTTTCTACTTTTTGTTCATTCCTTTTTTTTTCCATTTCAAGTTCTTTCTTGTGACTAAAAGTGTTAACTGTTGGAAAAGATTTCCGGCATGTTTGGCATGAATTTTTTCGTTAGAAGGAATTGTAAAAATTTTAATAATTGTTCACTTCATAATTTTTGTATCTATTTTTAATTATTATTGCATAAATAAGTCGATTATTATTTGTACCTCTTAATTTATTTCTTCAATTGTTTTATAATTTAGGTAATTGCAGAAAAATCAAAACTTAAGTATCATTGATTTAGTTCTCTCCGGTAAATGTGCAAAAAATGAATACTATAATATCACTACAAGAATAAATTTACTAAAAGGAAGAAGAGTTAAAATATCGAGATATAGGAGACACGAAGAGATATGAAAAGAGTTTCACACATTTCCTATTCGAATTTCCTTTATACAAGGATGTATATCTCAATTCCAACTTGTCTTCTTATTGCTGACAGTTAAAATCCCTTGCCCTTTTAAGGGTCAAGTTACATTTCTTCCACTATCGATTTTAAACGATAAGAGAAAAGTTATTGGGATTTAAAGATGGTACCTACGTGATATAAAGAAGTTAAGAAAAGAAACGTTTACGAAATGGATAAAGAAAAAAAAAAAAGAAGAAAAAGAAGAAGAGGAAAAAAAGGAAAAGGAAGAAAAAAAGAATAAAAAAATTTGTGAAACATTTGGAAGTAACGCGCGCGTGACCACAAGCAATTTCAAGTTGAACCTATATCTTATTCCTTGGTCAACGATATGGACTGTGTTATCAAGGGTAGGCCTCGATCTGTGTAAGTAAAGCGAATACTGGGGTTGATGTCAGAGAACTAGAGAACTGGATAGAGGTTTTTGAAGGGTGGGGATAGTAAATCGCTCTGGGGCAAGGTCTATGTTAATAACGGAGATCACTCGATCGCATGGGAGCTTATTACTCCAGCCGTCAGCGTGCCAGGGTACTTTTGATTGTACCTTTTGCTTATATCGGCATACTACACGTCCTTCTATTCTGTTGTATCATGTCGTTTCGTATCATGAAGTTGTTTCGTGTTGTTTCTTATTTTTTTTTCATCGTTAATAATTTTCAATCTATAACTATACTTGTGCATGAATATTAATAAGGATTTGAAATAGAGAACGATGAAGTTTTCAATTATTTTTTTGTAACAAATTCCATTAATCCGGTGATAAGAATAAGGAATGTGGTTTAGCCTTGAAAGAAAAAAAAGCTCGCTGCTGAGAAGTGTAATATATATATTTCTTTTTTCTTCTTTTCATGACGAAAATATTCTGCGACAAATACTGGACAGTTGTTTTATTGTTCTTGTTTCTTATTAAAATGAATATTTAGAATATTTCTTCAAAAAATAAAAACCATCGCGTTTTCTTCCTTAACAAATCTTACTATAGTAAATGATAAGAAAATAAAAATTTTAATTCTCTTGATAACAAATTCATGCTGTAGAAAAACGCTATTTAACTTTCCTTACTTCGCGA